GGATGGGGAATCTGATAACTTAAGAGGAACAGAGGAAAACAACGCATAACGTGAGACAGAAATTCTTCAGAGCTAAAAGGGCAAGGGAATTGTGGAGAGTCATGATCGTTTACGTCTTGAAGGGCCACGGCACAGAAAAGAAGATACGGCCTTGCGTTGGGGCATTTATACGTTGTTCATGGTTACCAAGCTAGTCTCGCTAGATCAATTACGACTGAAACCTCACTGAATTGACCCATACTTTCTACCTTGTACCATATCTAAGATACGCTTAGAAAATCATTTGGGCACCTCGGTGTGGTGTAATGGTAAACAAACTTTTCTCGCTAGATCAATTACGACTGAAACCTCACTGAGTGCCCAATACTTTCTGTTATGTGCCATATCAAAGATACGCTTAGAAAATCAATTGGGAACATTGGTGTGTGTAATGGTAAACAAGTTTGTCTCGCTAGATCAATTACGACTGAAACCTCACTGAGTGCCCCATACTTTCTGCCTTGTGCCATATCTAAGATACGCCAAGAAAATCATTTGGGCATCTCGGTGTGGTGAAATGTTTAAGAAGCTTATCTCGTTAGATCAATTCCGACTCAAATCTCACTGAGTGCCCCATACTTTCTGCCTTGTGCCATATCTAAGGTATGCATAGAAAATCATTTGTGCACCTTGGTGTGGCGTAATGGTAAATAAGCTTTTCTCGCTAGATCAATTACGACTGAAGCCCCACTGAGTGCCTCAGAATTTCTGCCTTGTGCCATATGTAAGATACGCTTAGAAAATAATTTGGGCACCTCGGTGTGATGTAATGTTCAGCAAACTTGTCTTGCGAGATCAATTACGACTGAAACCTCACTGAGTGCCCCATAATTTCTGCCTTGGGCCATATCTAATATATCCTGAGAAAATCATTTGGGCACCATGTGTGGTGTCATGTTTAACAATCTTGTCTCGCTAGATCAATTACGACTGAAACCTCACTGAGTGCCCCATACTTTCTAACTTTTAGTATATCTAAGATACGCTTGGAATTCCTTTGGGAACCTCGGTGTGGTGTAATGGTTAAAAAGCTTGTCTCGCTAGATCAATTACGACTGAAGCCTCACTGAATGCCCCATACTTTGTACCTTGTAGTATATCTAAGACACGCTTAAAAATCATTTGGGCACCACGTTGTGGTGTAATGGTTAACAAGCTTGTCTCGCTAAATCTATTACGACTGAAACCTCACTTAGTGCCCCATACTTTCTACCTTGTGCCACATCTTAGATACGCTTAAAAAATAATTTGGACACCTCGGTGTGGTGAATGGTTAACAAGCTTGTCTCGCTAGATCAATTACGACTGAAACCTCACTGAGTGCCCCATACTTTCTAACTTTTAGTATATCTAAGATACGCTTGGAATTCCTTTGGGGACCTCGGTGTGGTGTAATGGTTAAAAAGCTTGTCTCGCTAGATCAATTACGACTGAAGCCTCACTGAATGCCCCATACTTTGTACCTTGTAGTATATCTAAGACACGCTTAAAAATCATTTGGGCACCACGTTGTGGTGTAATGGTTAACAAGCTTAACTCGCTAAATCTATTACGACTGAAACCTCACATAGTGCCCCATACTTTCTACCTTGTGCCACATCTAAGATACGCTTAAAAAATAATTTGGACACCTCGGTGTGGTGAATAGTTAACAAGCTTGTCTCGCTAGAACAATTACAACTGAAACCTCACTGAGTGCCCCATACTTTCTGCCTTGTGCCATATCTAAGATACGCTTAGAAAATCATTTGTGCACCTCGGTGTGGTGTTATGTTTTACAAGCTTGTCTCACGAGATCAATTACGACTGAAACCTCACTGAGTGCCCCATACTTTCTGCCTTGTACAATATCTAAGATCAATTACGACTGAATGGTAAGTGGTAACTTTTTTAAGTCTACCTTACATGATTTAAAATAAATAACCAATTGATTTGACGGCAGCTGATGTACTGACTATTTACCTCAGAATATAATGATGAGTTTATGGTATTTGAAGATATTTTATTTTATTTATATTATTTTATTTTATTATATTTTATTGATCGTTTGGTAAGGCAACCTCCACCCCACAAAAAAAAAAAAAAAAAAAAAAAATCCCAAAAGAAGACAAGAAGAAAACAAAACAAATAAAATGCAGGCAAATCAATATTAAAAGCAAAAGAAAATGAATTTCAAAAAATGAAAGAAAGAAAGATAAAAAAAAAAATTACTTATGTATAAATAGCTTTGGGAAAGGTAAGAATCCATCTCTTTTCATCCCCAGTCATGGAAAAATAAAAAGATAACCTATAGCCTTGGGTGGAAACCGGTCTAGATGAAGGGCAATTCTGAATTCAAAACCTGATTGGTCCAATGATCGATGACTAAATATAGACCCTGTTCTGTTGGGGATGGTAAGTGGAACACCAACAGCACAACATACAAGATCTGTTAGAGTGCTGATGAACTCCTCAGAGTCAACGACCATTCACCCCCACTGCTATGAATTAAATAGCCTCGCCAACCCACAATTGGCCAAGCGTGGTAAGTACGGCTACACCCGTAAAGACATGGCCAATCAGACTGCCATTTTAGGAGAAAAAAAACTCTAAATTCAACGCCGTAGAAAATGTCACGTGAAACTACTCCACTATCTGCCCTAAGAAGTTTTGTCCATTCACAGATATATCTATGGTTTAATTTAAAATCTATCGGTCTATCCAAAGGCGTATTGGGAGGAACGTTGGTTCTCTGTGTCGCGCCAGAAAGTTCTCTCCCGAGTCCATCTTTCAAATCGACTATTCGACCTTGCATGGAATACTGCTGCCATATATGGCCTGGATCCCCCATTGTCCGTCTTAAGGACCTCGACAAAATCCAGAGACGGATATGCAATGTGATTGGCCCAGACCTGGCATCGCGTTTACAGTTGCTCTCTCACAGGCGTGCCGTCGCTTCCCTCTGTTTTTTCTACAAATACTTTCACGGTAACTGCTCCGACGAGCTACTTTCGCTGGTTCCCAAACTGCATGAACTTATCAATGTTCTTCTATATCCCTGTCTTATGTCCTGCTAGACGTTAGCGATCTCACAATTTCCTGCCTCTTGTAGCTTTTAAAAACAACAGTACATTTCTATCAATTCTTACTGGGCGACCATTACGAGGTGTATATTCGTGCGACATATTTTAGCACTGAAAGCCTCTGAGACTACTTTTGATCACTTTGGTTGGTAATTTGATTTCCACCAAGTAATGTACATATTGTAGGTTTGTTCTATTTTCTGCTTTTGTTACGAGATGAAATTCTCACAGCAGACAAGTTCAATGGAAGAGATATCAAGGGACGCTGTTTGATTTCAATGAGAAAGAAAGCGTTGAGCAGAAAGACTATCTAACCTTCTCGACACCTATTATTCGCTGTCCTGCCGGAGAGTGCAAATTTTCTTTACTCAGATTTCTCGAACATTCAGGCCGGTAGACGAAAATAAATAAGTATACTGTTTAATAAATAATCGGAGCGTCTACTCAAATACGAGTATCCGACAAAAAAAAAAAAGTTTAAAGTGATAAAAATATGTCGGATTGATAAAAAAAAATCCATTCTTCTTCTTCTTCTTCTTCTTTTCTTCAAAATTTCAAAGATATATATATATATATATATATATATATATATATATATATATATATATATATATTATAATGTTTTCAAATAGACAAAAACAATTTACTCACTACAAAGATGCAACTTCGTTTCAGTGTATTTAATTGCACTTCGACTGGTGAGAACCAAAATAGTTATGAACAATTCTGTTTGCAAGCAATTCTGTTTCCAATTTTTACATTTGTTTGATAAAAAATAAAAAAAAGATAAATAATATATAAATGCAAAAAGGTAACCATTATAAACATTTTGGTTCTCACCAGTCGAAGTACAATTAAATGCACTGAAACGAAGTTACATCTTTGTAGTCAGTAAATTGTTTTTGTCTATATGAAAAATTATAATAAATAATTATTGCTCTACTATCGGTATCGAGCGCTCTTTTGAATTAATGCTGTGAACGTTAGAATTTATATCTTATTTTTGTTCACATTACATTTGGATATATATCTATTTCTATCTATCTATCTATCTAGCTAGCTAGCTAGCTAGCTATATATATATATATGTGTGTGTGTGTGTGTGTGTGTTTATACATTCTTTTTATGTCTTAAATGTCTTAAAATAATTGTCGGACTAGGTCCATTTCATAATATATATATATGTGTGTGTGTGTGTGCGTGAGAGAGAGAGAGAGAGAGAGATAGTAGCGAATGGAGGGACGAACAGACACTGAAAAAAATGTTCTCATGCTTGTCATAAATGTTTATTGACAGTTCTTGTACTTTTATAGCGTGTTGATTCTGACGTAGAAAACAGGGGTCTTGGGAAACGCACTTTTCCGTTGTACAAGATACTGTTCATGTTATGTCATGCATGATAAACAGTCTTCCATACAGAAATTTTAACGCACGTACACAAAAGACATAATAAGACACTGGTACAGGATGCATAGGATGGAATTCAAGTTAGCATAGGCAAAACAGATATTGAATATCACACACACACACATATATATATATATATATATATAGATATATATATATATATATATATATATATATATATATATATAGAGAGAGAGAGAGAGAGATAGAGAGAGAAAGAGAGATGGGGAGACAGAGACATTATACACACTAAATGAAGAGAATATCATATATACGGAGAAGGAGAATGATTGAAACACATAGAATATTTGCGAAATGTAGATAGATAGATAGATATGAAGGGACCGAAATAGATAGATAGATAGATGAATAGATAGATAGATAGATATGAACGGACATATATATATATATATATATATATATATATATATATATATATATATATATATATATATGTGTGTGTGTGTGTGAGAGAGAGAGAGAGATATAAACGGGAGATAGATATAGATAGATAGATATAAAACGGACAGAGATAGATAAATAGATAGATATAAACGGACAGATATATAAACACGCTGAAATAGAGATAGATAGATAGATAGATATAAACGCGCTGAAATAGAGATAGATAGATAGATATAAAGACGCTGAAATAGAGATAGATAAATAGATAGATATAAAGATGCTGAAATAGAGATAGATAGATAGATAGATAGATAGATAGATAGATAGATATAAACCCGCTGAAATAGAGATAGATAGATATAAAGACGCTGAAATAGAGATAGATAGATAGATACGAACAGACTGAAATACAAACATAGAATGAAATAAGAAAGAACGAGAAGAAGCAGAACCAAATGAAGAATAGAAGGAAAAGAATGAAATGAAGATGAAGTAAAAGAAATCAAAGAAAGAAAGAAAGGAAGCAAAAGAGCGGTAATGGTGAGGAGGAGGAGAAGAAGAGTAAATAATAGAGAATATAAAAAAAAATGCATAAAAATAGGAGGGCAGGGCATCAGAAGTAGAAGGAGGGAAAGAAAAGAAAAATTTCAACAACGAATAACAGAAAAAAGAAAGAAAGAAAGAAAGAAAGAAAGGTAAAATAAATAAGTTCTTAAAAACAGCTTGTCCATTCAGGACGTGGATGCTCATGTCTCTCCACAGATTCCTTTTGTTTATTATCTGTGAATTGCCATACCCCTTCAGGAAAGATGGTGGAGTGGTTTTCTGCTACTTTCTCTATGGTTTCGAATTCAGCGTACATCTTTTAGATTAGTTAACACCCAAGTCTAGGGTACCTATATTTTAACCAATACACCATTTTTGAGGCAGTGCCTGTAACAGGCTAGCCCGGAATTTGAACTCGGCCCGTCGGTTCCTATTCTTTACCGACGACCGTCACACTATTGACACACCCAGATAGATAAATAAAAATCTAGGTATGCAAACGAGGAAATGGTCAATGAGAAGGAAAGTGACGGGCAGGTGTCAAAGGTCACCGTGTCAATCCCTTTGATAACAAAGGGATTTTGATCCTTGCGTGTCTGTCGGAGATGGGGAGGCTGGGGCGAGTTTGGAATGGTGTTCTTTGACGGTATTGAATTTTGCCCGGAAGAGATTTGGCTTGGAATACGGAAAGTGACAAAGATAGATCGGAACAGGTTGAGAAAGAAGTCTGGGCAGTCTTTCGAGAAAAAAAAAAATTCTCCGCGTTTGTCTTGCACGAAATTAAGATCAGATAAGTAGATATTAACATGCACCCACACCCTCAACACACACACACACAAAATATATATATATATATATATATATATATATATATATATAGAGAGAGAGAGAGAGATGGAGATGTTATTATACACTCACACACACCCTCAACACAGGAAGAGAAAGAGATTTTCTTATGAGCACATACCTACACCCTTACCCAAATACCCATCCATCACAGAGACACAGCAAGATATATATATATATATATATATATATATATATATATATAGAGAGAGAGAGAGAGAGAGAGAGAGAGAGAGAAAATGTTATTATGAACACCCTCACACCCTTAACACCTTTATTATAAACAACCACCCAAACCCTTAATAGAGAGAGAGAGAGAGAGAGAGAAATAGATTTCATTATGAACACCCACAGACACCCTCACCCAACCCTCACCCTCACTCTCACCCACAGAAAGATATATATATATATATATATATATATATAGAGAGAGAGAGAGAGAGAGATAGAATGCTATTATGAACGCCCACTCACACCCTTAACACCTTTATTATGAACAACCACCCACACCTTTAACAGAGAGAGAGAGAGAGAGAGAGAGATTTTATTATGAAAAAACACCCACACCGACACCCTCACTCTCACCCAACCACCCACCCAGAGAAAGATAGAGATAATTTTTTTTTATGCAAGTCAATGTTTTCACAATAAAATTGATATTAACCAACCGGTGTTGGTACATTTTCCAGGATCTTCTTCTTCTTTCCGCCGCTTCCTTTAAGGACGGAAGCGTTCATAGCTCGCCACAACATCCTATCCTTTTTTAGCCCTTAGCAATATTTGTCTCTTTACTATCCCTTTTCACTGTCTCTTCTGCCATCCAAACTCGTTAGGGAGTTCCGTCGGTTGTTTCCCCTTATACCGCTTTACCCTGTGAGTGTCGAATTTTCCAAGCCTTCTTTTCTCATTAGGTGTCCTAGAAATTTCGAATGTCTCTTTCAAATTCTACTTACAAATCTCCTTTTTGTTTTTATTTTCCTGAACACTTCCTCGTTACTTACATGTTCAGTCCTTGTTATTCTTAGCATCCCTTTGTAGAACCACATCTCTTGGAAATTGTCAAGCATTCACGGCCATATTTCTTTTTTTAATCACTTCAACCAAAGTAAGAGGTTCGAAAGAATCTGAGAAAAAAATTATTAGGGAGAGAGGACAATAAAAGAACAGGAACTAAGGTGACAGTAGGTGACGATTGACACTGCATTTAGTTTTTTTGAAGATCAAAATGGTTCAAAGCCGGAGTAGAGTTCCACGGGCGAGAAGTGCGAGAGATAAAACTATTAGCATAGAACTTACAGAGGCGAGAGTCATTCTTAAAAGATATGGAAGCCGAATTATGTAATATTTCGAATACGTTACAGTACACGTGATAGATCAAGAGAAAAAAAACATGAGCAACGTACCATGACCCGCTTAAGTTTTAATTGGTTTAATTAGACAATATCAACTGCAATTGCGACGAAAAGCGAAATTAAAGTTATACCTTTAATAAAGAATTGTATTTTTTTTAACCTTTCACTCTGTTCGATATTTAAATTTAACTTTAAATGAGTTATTCATTTAATTTTTAATCGTGTGTAACTACAGTAGTTACTACCTGTTATTTCAGGTTGTTTTATGCTTTGCCGAAATCGAAAAACGGGCGGACGGACATACGTACACTGCACTTTATATATATAGATTTATTTATAATGGTGTACAATTGAAATTGAGAATTTTTTCCATTTCATTGAAACAGACGTTAAACACTTCTTTCGTTCTTTCTTTCTTTTTTTCTTTCTTTTTCTCACTGAAACCAAGTAACGTCTTTCATATGTCAGATCCATGTTTTCATGCGGTCAAAACTTCTTCTTCTTCTTCTTCTTCTATGTTCTTTCTTTTCTTCTTCTTCTTCTTCTTCTTCTTCTTCTTCTTCTATGTTCTGTGTTTCTTCTTCTTCTTCTTCTTCTTCTTCTTCTTCTTCTTCTTCTTCTTCTTCTTCTTCTATGTTTTGTGTTTCTTCTGGACGGTGGTGATCATATCTCTCCACAATTTCCTGACTCTTTGTAGCTCTTAATAAATTGTCTTTTTGATATTTCTCCTAAACATTGTTCCGCCATCCATTTACTCAAGTTCACAAAGTGTGTTATGCCTTGTTTTCCTCTGTCAGCCTTCAATCTGCCCTGTGAGTGTCAAATGTTCCAAGCCCACTTTCCTCATTATATGCCCTAAAAATTTCAACTATTTCTTCCTGGTGTTCATTTTCTTTAAATCTTCGAAGTTGCTCATATGCTCGGTCCATGGTATTCTCAGCATCCTTCTGTAGAGCTACATTTCTGTTTCTTCAAGTCTCTTCTTTGTCTGTGAAGATATTGTCCAGGTTTCGCTGCCATATACGAAGAATGATATTCCATTATATTTAACGCCCACCATCACGTGGGTCGTATGTGGCACAAGGTCGGTTTAGCGTGGGTTTTCCGAGACCGTAGGCTCGGCCCAAAATATTCCCTTCGAACCCGTATCAACGGGTTCAGGGCCTGTCTATCTCCCCGGAGGAAACTTTACCCTTCGGCAAAGTCTCGTCCGGGTTCCTCTCCGCCGAGGCGGATAGTTTGACAGTAATGAACGGTTTGGAGCACCGTTCCCAAAAATGATATTCTATTGGGTTACTTTTTATGATGTCCATTTATTATTCATTTGCCATGGTTCTTCTCATTAACATTTCTGGCTTTTTTTCCTTGCTGCTTTTGTAAGACGCAGTTATATTTCAGAGATTATCACCGTGATGAGGGTTTTGTGCCAGCATTGTTTCCAATGCCACATCTCCGACCATCATCGATTGGTTGTCAGCCATACGCCAGCATGATTATAGATGATTGCCTTGGCTCGTTTCCCTATTCTACAGACATTAGTTTGTTTATTTAGTTGATTTAAATATTTTTTGATAGTATTAACCTAGGCACAACGACACGTATATGGATCGTCACGTGAGGAATGGAATCGCAAGAAATGGCTTGCGAGATTCACAAACTAAATAAAATACAAGTTATATGCGTATATATATATATATATATATATATATATATATATATATATATATATATATATATATATATATATATATATATATATATATATATATATATGAAAAATATAGTCTTAAAGGTGTGCTATATTTATGGGATAAAGTGCTCGATATCAGAGATAGAGCGTGTGTAAATATAAAAGTGAACATAGAAGTCAACACTTAGAGGCGACAGTCTGTTTCATGCTATATGCAATCGTCAGGCCACACCTGATATATATATATATAAAAGTGAACACTCAGAATTGAGAGGCTGTTTCATGCTGGACGCAATATTCCTTCCAGCATGAAACAGCCTGTCGCCTCTGAGTGTTGACTTCAATGTTCACTTTTATATTTATATTTACATACGCTCTATCTATGATATTAAGCCCTTTATCCCATAATATAGCACACGTTAAAACTATATTTTCTCTCTCTCTCTCTCTCTCTCTCTCTCTCTCTCTATATATATATATATATATATATATAAACGAAATGGATAATTAAAGACTCCGTCTTCTTATTATCATTATGATGCTCTGTAGTCTACATTGAGCTCTCCCTGGATTTATATCTTCCTCAGAATTATTTCTTCCACTCACAAATTGGTAAAACGTATATATATATATATATATATATATATATATATATATATATATATATATATATATATGGTGAATTGATTATATTATTAAATTAGACTAGTTTATATATATCGATAAATGGTGAATTATATATATATATAATATTTTTATTATAATAGATTATAATAAAAACATATTACATCGCTACACCAAAGCTTCCACGTTTCAATACTGTGATTGTACTTCCTCAGACGATGGTAGACAACTTGTGATAATTTTTTTTTCATCACAAGTTATCTACGATTGCCTAAGGAAGTACAATCGTAGTTTTGAAACATGAAAGCTTTTGTGTAGCGATTTAAAATGTTTTTATAATCTATTATAATAAAAATATTATAATAATATTTTGCTCTACTTTGTATTGAGCATGTTTTTAAAAAAAAGTAAATGCTATGAACTGTGGATTTTTACTGTTCTTTATATATATATATATATATATGTGTGTGTGTGTGTGTGTGTGTGTGTGTATTCTGTGTAAAAATAAAATGTTATTCTGTGTAAAAATAAATGTTATTTATGGCAAATATTATTAAAGATAACAGACATTTTGTGTCGATTATTTTGAATGATCGACTTTTCCAAATTACCATTAATCCTTCTTAGACAAAGAGGATATTCCGCCAGAAACTGTCTGAAGTCCATTTCGAAAGAAATATGGTCCAAGCTTTCGATTTTTTTAAAAGTTATTATCAGGGTAGGTAGAGATAACAAGTTATTTTCATAGAACTAGTGGGTATTGTGACGTAAGCTAACAGTTTTATGACGTAAGCGAGGTGTGACGTGTTTCTTTTTATATACATTTCAGGACGTAAAGTTCTTAATTTATAATTGTTTTTATTTATAAATGGCTGTCTTTGTTGTATGAGTATTTCCTTGTGGATAATAAGTCTGTTTTTTACCATTTGATTTGCCTATCTGGGAATCGTTCTGACAGAAGACGGTAAATGCGACACTGAGATACGTAGACGTATTGGGATGGCCAAGGACGCATTCCAAAAGCTGTAGTATTGCGAGACAGGAAGATTTCTTTGGTAAAGAAAAGAATACTGAACTGTTACGTGACATCTGTCCTTCTTTACGGCAGCGAATGTTGGACGATTTCCTCAAAGATGAAGAAGAGACTCGAGGCGACAGAGATGTGGTTCTACAGAAGGATGCTAAGGATATCATGGGCCAAGCGTGTGAGCAACGATGAGATCTTAGAGAGGGTGCAAACAAGAGGGAGGCTTATACTTAACATCAGGAAGAGGCAGCTGAAGTTCCTGGGACACATAATGAGGAAGGAGGGCCAGGAGAATCTGAAGCTAACGGGTCGAATATAGGGAAAAAGAGACAAGGGAAAGCAACTCATGACATACCTAGCGGCCTTAAGCAAGTGGATGACAGAATGTGGTCTGGAGGAGGTGGCATAGGGAAGGAACTTGTTGAGAGCAGAAAGGGATAGAGGGAGGTGGAGAGCCATGTTCGCCTACGTCCTGATAGAAAGAGTTTTGGTATTGTTTGTGAGTAGCCGCCTAATATTTTCTTATATATGATGCTTATGCTGCTTATTAATATGTTGTCTGATGTCATTCTGTTTCTATAGGTGGCAGGTTAGTCTCCGTGATCGTGTGGTTATGGTATGTCCTATGTAAGAAGTTTTTTTTTTT